TAGCAGTGCAAATATCTTTCTTTTTGTTTTTTTCAATTGACTTTTGAGTGCTTTAGTCTTGTACAGGTGCAATACCATGCTCTGATGTAAGGTCTTATTTCCAGTTTGCTAAATTTGATGTGTGTGTGTGTGTGTGTGTGTGTGTGTGTGTGTGTGTGTGTGCGTGTGTGTGTGTGTGTGTGCGTGTGCATGTGTGTGCGTGTGTGTTGCATCAGGCAGCTTCAAGGACAGTGAATCCCCAGTTTCCGGAAAAACCCTTTGCTCAACAGTATTATACAAAATGTTTCTTTTTTTCTTTCACCTTCAATCTGTTATTCTTGTCCTTTGTCAACGAGACTGATAGAAACCCAGATGTGTGCTGACATCACAGTATGAGCGTAAAGTAAGAGTTGGCGAGTGGGTGGCCAGGTTCCCCCAGGCTTCTCAGGCAAACCTTTTGTTCTTTCCTGGCAACAAATGGTAATTAAATCCTCCCCAGCACAATGAATCTAGACAGGTTAGGTAATCCCTGTGCAGTTGTCTTTCTTCCCAGCCGGAGCCATCCACCCTACATTAGCTGACTCAACCTAATCAGTGCTGCCTTGGTACACTGTGAGCTCTCTTGCTAAATGCTCGCGTATCCCAGGCAGTGGGCTTTGCACTGCTGCCTTTTTAGCCCAGGGATATTATTAGTTTGGAATAAAGGTGTGATATGTAACTTTTATGCATTAAAATCTCTAAAACCACTAGACCTATGTTATATATTTTGTTGAGTTGTGTACTTCAGTGGTGTCATATCCCCTTTTCCTCTTTGTTTGCCAGAAGCATCAAAATAGACTTTTTATCCAGTCTCAAGCCACATTTTTAAGATATACTTTTTAGGTCTTGGTCGTTTTTTAACTGTATATTTTAACTGGATTAAGGATTTTAGCCATCAGACTTATTAGAGAGACAAGCTAATGTTAGCAGCAATTTGGCTCCCAGCCCCTCTGAGACTTCCTTTGTCTGCCAAACAACATCAGAGAAACACTGATTTTTAATGTGAAACTGCTTTAGTCAGTGATTTTATTGGATTTAATCACCTGCTCCATTTGTTTGCTATTGAAGAAGACCTCTGAGGATAATTCAGCTCCTGATAAAAACCCCCTGAACAAGTGACAATGAAGGAATCCTAACTGCGAGAAGCTGACTAACTGACAATGACGGCAATTGTGGTGAAGACATAAACTCCTGTGATTCCACGCTACTCCGTGACGTCATCCAGTTTCGTCTTTTGTTGAGAGAGCCCTAGTGGCAGAAAATTCACTTAATGGCTAATTTGTTATTTTGTCAATGCCTTCCAAAACACCCCATGTGACTGTCATTAGTATCTATGTTTTCTCATCTTCCACCTCTATAGTTACGGTCAGTATAAGCTTTGGCAACTAAACATCTTGAATGAAGGTGAGGAAAAATTAATTATAATTAATAAAGACAAAAAAATATTGACTGTTGGTAGTAGGTGTCTATTTCCAATCACCTAACCACATCACTTTAACTTTTGCATCTGAGACTTAATCATCACTCACACAACAGCAAAAGGTCGCTTGTCAGGAAAACATACAGGTTGTTTTTAAAAATTTAACCAAATGACCGAAGCCATCATTTTTCTGGAAATCTAATTTACCTCCACTTTTTCTTCAAAAGATCAGTCTGACGATATTCTATATTTTTCTTATTGTAAGAAACTATGGATCGATCCTGCTAACAAGTATTTCCTGTGTATCCAAAGCCTGTTATGATTTATCCCTCTGTGCTGTGGAGCTCCAATGCTATAAAACTATAAAAACACATCAGTGGACCGCACTAATACACTGGGTGACATGTTCCCTTTTTTACGATGAACATGGGCGCTGTGGTTTGCGTCGCTCAATCCCACATACACCATTTTGCCCCTCTAAATATCCATTAGTGCACCAAATCTGCTACTGAAAACAGTCCCCAACACAAACAGTATTGACTCCTGCTTAAAACTACAGTGGCAAGTTGTTTTAGCAACTAATTTAATGTCTTTACATATACTGTATCTACTGATAGACGTTTTCAGTAGTGACCATTAAACTTGAGGCTGAGAGTCATCGGCAGGCTGAGAAAGCAGGGAAGTATTGACAGATGGACTAACACACTGCTGGTTTTGGTCTTTTCATGGGATTTTTTGGACAGTAACAAAATACGAGTTAACCAAAAAGGATAAGATTAGTAAAATATTGCTAATCTTATCCTTTTTGGTTAACTCGTGGAATAATGTATTTGACTTTGGCCACTTGGGGGCAACAGAAACAACACACCATTGACATATGGTTGACTTTGATGTTGATGTAGCGACAGAGTAACAGTTTCTGAGGTTGCTTCTAAGCATTTAGACAAATGACCAAACCAACATGAACAACAAATCGATCTTACCAACAAGTATTTCGTATGCACTCAAAGCCTTTTATAATTTATCCCTCTATCCCCTGCCATAGAGCTCCATTGCTATAAAACTATACCACATCAGTGGGTCCTATTCTACAATGAACATGGGCGCTGTAGTTTACGTTGCTCAATCCCACATAAACCATCTTGCCACTGTAAATATCCATTAGTGCACAGCAGTTATGGAGCCATGTTATTATTCAGTCGGAGTCATGTGCATGTTAGCTAGTGGTTAACCGGCTAGTTACCAACTTTGTCTGTCTGCCGCTCGGTGCATAGCAGGTAGTTACAGTAGGAAATCAGAATATTAAAGTTGTGGGTTGGACAGCTAAACAATGAGCTGCTACTTGCTTAGTGACCCCCTTTCCCATTGTCACATTGTTTTCAGTCACTTGATACGTTGTTATGGTGAAAATGATGATAGCCTCTTTAAGCATGTTCATACCAGTTCCCTCTGTCAAGAATAATTTAAAATAGTGAATTAGCCAGTTTGATCATGAGGAAAGGAATGCTGACATGAATGTCACTGCTTGCCCGTATAATGCGTTGTAATGAGCTGTAGTGCATTGAACTTTGGGTTATTGAAGAATATCAGTCTTAGCCGCTCTAAATGTGATACTGTAAATGTAGTTGAAGAATAGAGGTCACTGATGATTGCCTCTGTGCTGATTTAAGATGAACAGGTCAAGAATCCATTAGAATTAAATGCCGTGTCCTAATTCTTTTTACTTTACTAATCTTACACTAATATTGAATCAAAATTGCACTTGAATCCTCTATAATGGGTCAATCAGAGTAAGTAATTATTCCTGGTTAGATACCAAAACATTTTCTCAGCATTGCAGTCTCTCTCTCTCTCTCTCTCTCTCTCTCTCTCTGAATATCCATCTGTGCGTCATCAGTCGTGTTTGAAGTGGCTTCTTTGGTGAATCTAACTGCTTCTTAGAATGCGACTTAAATAACAAATGTATCTTACATTTCTTAAAAACCCCAAATAACATTTGACAACAAACCTTTTTATTATTATTAGAGGGGAGTAAATTTGCCATTAACAGAGCTGATTTTTATCCATCACACAGCCCCCCCATTTGGTCTCACTTCTTCGAAACCCCCATGGCTATAGACTTATGAAATGGGTGCAATACAATATCTCCACTGTCATTTGGGTGGAGTGCTGGAGGTGCTTTAATGCTCTAATTCCTGTATTGGTTCCGGTTGCTCAGTGTCTTGTCGAGCAACATACTCACAAAAACAGATATTATTATGAATGATTCCTGTTTTTATCTCGGCTTTAATCAGCTAAACTTCTCTATTTTGGATATTCTGAGAGCTGTGAAGTCAAGTCATGCGTTAGCGTCGTTACCATTCTTCAGTCACGTGTTTCCTTTGATTATCTAATGTCCCTTTAATCTGTATTATATGACAAACAAATCCTAGATAAGCAACCTGCAGCTCAGCCATATGGGAAACGGTCCCGCTTCAGCTTTATTGTGTCGAGCAGCTGGCTGTACATCCAGCCTGCTTACAGTAATATAATTAAACAAAGTGAAGACCGCATTTCCTTCCCATCATTCCCTGGAGTGGGCACCTTTTATCACAACCATAAAGAGGCTGAGGGTGATCGTGTTTACCACCAGAGAGGTGCTTCTTCAGCCTGCCTATTTCTTCAATTATGTCTTTGTCCCTGGTCCATGGTCCTGCTTTTCACAAAGGAGCAGAAGCTAAGAAGCAATTTGACAACACATGATGTTATTAGCAAGATCATTGCATTATATCAGACACACACTGACTGATTCAAATCTTTATTTATACAGGAAAACTTACAGAGGGCCTGCTCTGTTTAGCAACACGTGGTGACATGATAAAACAAAATTTAAGGTAATAAAAGACTAAATATGACAATTGACAATATGACAAAAATAAATATCACAAAAGAGTCACATTCAACTGGTGTTGATGTTTTGATGAAGGAAAGCTGTGAACCGAGTGCAAATGATCTAAAAGCAGACGTCCCTGAGCCCCAATCCACAATACTAAATATATACACAGATAGACAGTGGGTGGAGGTTAATTTTCAGCTTGCATGTGTTTAAGTGAGTTGTTTTTGAAAGAGAAGGATCAAAACAAGACACTGAAAGATTCACTGTGTTTTCAGGGGCATGCAAAAAAAAACATGGCAGAGAACGTCAGCTTTTATCATTTGACAGTAATTTCCCAGCCTCGTCCTTGCACGCACGCACGCACACACACACACACACACACACACACACACACACACACACACACACACACACACACACACACACACACACCCACACACACACACACACGCACCGCGCACACGCACACACACACACACACACCCAGCCCCCCTTTTTTTCTGACTTCATCCTCTCTCTCTCTCTCCCTCACTTTCTCCTTGTCCCTTTCTCTCTCTCTCTCTCTCTCTCCCTCACTCTCCACCCCTCTGTGATTGGCTGAGCGGGCTGATGACACATCAGAGGCAGGGGAGGTAGGGCTATAAAACCTCTGCTCTGGCTCTGCTCAAACTCACAGACAATCTCGCTCACAGCCGAGCTCCACTAAACGGATATTAACTGCCACCCGACCGAGACCACCACCACCACCATCCCCACCAGCTCCAACCTGCTGCTGCTATGTGTAAAGGACTAGCATCGCTTCCTACCTGCTGCTTGGAAAGGTACATGAAGCTTCATGCAAACAACACTCAGATGTCGGATGGATTTACAGGATGTGAAAGCACAGCTGCTTTTATTTTTGTGTCTCTGTACGTGTGTGTGTGTGTGTGTGTGTGTGTGTGTGTGTGTGTGTGTGTGTGTGTGTGAGCGTTTGAAAAGCTAAAGGAGGATTTCAGCTTTAGATTAGTAAATTGAGACTTTGCCTTCAGCCTGAACTTAATCTGTGCTTCAGTGTTTAATCTTTTATCTAACCTGTTCTTCTTTTTCTGACAGGGCCAAGGAGCTGAAAGCAAGGCTGGGAAGCATTTTGCAAAAACCCAATTGGAATCTATCCTGCTGCAAAATAGGGAAAAATAAGTAAGCATCACACACACTGTGCTTTACTTAGCAACCAACGTAATCTACATTTATTTTCACTGTGTGTGTGATTGAAAGTCTATGTTGAATCTAATCACACTTCATCTTTTCTCAGGCCAACACTGGAGGAATGCCTTAAGTGGAAGGAGTCCTTTGAAAAACTCCTGTCCAGCAAATGTAAGTAAACATTTAGATTTCTTGCATTTCTTTTTTTGACACACATAAAAAAAAAAATTTAAAAAATGTGCCTGCAAATGCCAGTAAACGTGCATTATACACACACTTGAGGACACGTGCAGCCCTGAGGGACCGTAATGGACCGTAAGTAATCAAATTTGCCCTCTCTCCTCAGATGGACTGTGTGCCTTCACAGCCTTCCTGGTATCTGAGTTCAGCGAGGAGAACGTCGCGTTCTACTTTGCCTGCGAGGATTACAGGACTACCAAGTGTCCTGAAAAACTACCCGCTAAAGCCCAGAAGATCTACAACGAATTCATCGGCAGTGAAGCTCCAAGAGAGGTAAGATATATCAAAAAAAAAAGATTTAAAAAAAATATATATAAGTCTGAATCCTAAAAATTCCTCCTCAAAATAGACAAAAATAAACTAAAGACTAATATGTTCTGTCGCTTTGTTCCTCTTTCTAGATTAACATCGACCACGAAACCCGTGACATCACCAAAGCCAACATGCTGGCCCCCTCAACATCTTGCTTCGATATGGCCCAGCACAAGATCTACATGCTCATGGCCAAAGACTGCTACCCCCGCTTCCTCCGCTCTCCAGCCTACAGGGATCTAGTGTGCCAAGCCAAGCCAGGCGCCAAGGCCACCAAGCAGCCCCAGCAGGAGAAGAAGGCGTGAGGGCGAATCTCTCCATGAGCCGATGAAGGATTGTTTCGCGGTCGCCTTAAAGGTAGAGAAGGCAAGAGAGAGAGATGTTGTGGCGTTGCGGCTGCTGCATCGCGGAGCCGGGACGCTGATGATGCTGATGCAGACGCAGAGGTCGTCATGAGATGAGAGCGTGCGGTTGGGTTCTGCAGACGCCGTCTCTCTGAAGATGAGGAAGGGTGGAAGCTGGAGCAAAAGCTGGAGGTCGATGCCTTAAAGTGGACTGTTGTGTGAATACAGTTCGGACAAAGTCAAAAGAGAAAGTAAAAGATTGAGTGACAATCAAGCAGGAGGGCAGGAGAACTGGGAGAGGCACTTTTCTTTGCCATTAGGCAAATGTTGTTGTGGTTGTGATGTGCAATGTCCTTCTGTCAAACTTGTACACTGTTTGTGAACAGGCATGTACTTCACGAATTTGTATTTATTTGTATTTATTTGTCTGTAATATATTTGTTGAATTTTTACCAAACAAAACTGAAAACAATGTGCAATTTAATTTATAATATTATAATATTTATATCACTGTTGTCTTTTTTTACGTACCAGCAAATAAACTAAATTATTTGAGAAATAAGGTGTGAAAAAGTGTCGTCTTCATTGAATAAAATCGTGGTTTAAAATTTATTTCAATTTCAGGGACATAAGACGAGTTGCTGAGGAGAGTCATATTCTTATGTGAAACACAGGACCACTAAACATTTCACAGTCTAGACCGTGGGTATCTTTACCCTAGTAACATGGATGCAACATCAAATGTCAACAGATTCAGGTGAAGTTTGCCCAGACCGTGCATGTTTAAATACTCACATTACCTCATATAAAAAATGACAATGACATATTTGCTCTCCGTTATGAGAGGCATTCTGCAGCCGGTGTTGTGCACATCTGTTATTCACCAAGGAAACCGCGTCATAAAGGACTCGGGACTATCACAGCATCCGCCTGCTCAGAGCTTTTGTCCCATATCGTGTGAATGAGAAAGAGCTTTCTAGCAAACAGGAAGCGCGGAGAGAGGTTGTGACAGCATTAACGTAATAGGAAGAGCAATAAAACTTCATTATTGCCTCAGTGACTGTTTGCGCTGGCCATCAACTTCAGCTATGGTAGCAGCTTTGCTGTCGTTTATTACCTGGAGTGCGTCCACTACTGCTGTCTGCAGAGCGAGCGTGTGGACATAACGCATAACACAGGGATAATACAGACCCCGTCCGAAGCCTGTAGTTACGTAATAACGGCATCGATTACAGTGATAATGCTGGCTATCTGATTTGCCCTCATTAAAATGCTAAATATTGCAGTTAAAGATTTGGTAAAGTGCATTTCTGCAGCAGGTTGAGAACAAACTGTGGTTGAACGTCTGCTTTGTGTATTCAGATGTCATCAGTGAAGAGCGGAGCCAGTGTCAACAGCTGTTCCACAGGCCTGGTGCATATGAACGTCTCATAATGCTGCCTCACTCTCCATAGTAACCCCACGGACATTTTTATCTAGATTACAGACAGTCATGGCGATGACCAGTTGAAGTTTTATTATATAGAGAACAGTGTTGCAGGGGACATGCGACAGGCGTTCATTCAGTTTTTCAGACTGGGAAAATATTTAAACCCAATCATCTCAACCACTTGTTTGGAAGAGAAGACGAAACACACTTGGAATGTTAGTTAAGATCACGTATTTCATTTTTCAACTTTATGTGTGAATGTGTTTGTGTGCCTAAAACATATGAGTGTGTTGAATCAAAGGCATTAAACTGCTGTTGTGCTGCATTTCACAACCCCCCCCACCCCACCTCCCATCCCCACCCTTCCTATGACTACAGTATGGATGAGGTACATTTCAGCTCATTTAAGGGTAGGGAAAGACTGTAGTTTGGTTCAGGAACTGAGGTTATGCTAATGTTATGGTATTTTTGGTAAAAGCTGGTCAACTTCACTTAGTTAAATTTGGTGAGTTAGTGTGGTTATGAATAAAACAAAAAACCCCACAGTGCCAGTGTCAGACAAACCACCTCAGCTTCCACAGTTTAACTTTTCACTTCACGTAAAGGACATGCTTTTTCTTTAGTTAAACCTAAAGCAGTGATGGCCAAAACAAGACAATATAAATTAGTCAAAAAAAAAGGTTGTGTTGTTAAGACCACAGTGGACACAGTGGTTCCTACAGTCGGACACTTACACCCCACCACTACTTCAACAATGCCTCCAAGAGAGCCCAGTTTCTCAGACCACTGCAGGGCGTCACTTGTTCGGACAGTGTAAACATAGTTTGTTTGTAGTTTTCCATCCATCCATCCATCATCTACACCACTTATCCTTACAGGGTCGCGGGGGGGCTGGAGCCAAATCCCAGCTGACATTGGACAGGTCGCTAGTCTTTCACAGGGCTGACATATAGAGACAAACAACCAGTCATGCAGACATTCACACCTATGGTCACTTTAGATCAGTTAACCTAATGTGCATGTCTTCGGACTGTGGGAGGAAGCCGGAGTACCTGCAGAGAACCCACAAAAATACAGGGAGAACCCAGAACCTTCTCGCTGTGAGGCGACAGCGCTAACCACTGTAACACTGTGCCGCCCCATTTGTAGTTTTAAGTTTCCTAAATAGTTTTGGTTATAGTCAGTGCAGTTTTGAGGTATCTATCTCAGAGATTTCTGCCTCCCCCTCAGTTCAGTGGAAGTGAGCTGAACGTAATTTGTGTTGCTCCAAACCATTCAACAACAACAAGGGCCTTCCAGAAACACTAAACCACAAACCAGCCGCAAACCTCACTGTGAACAGTCTTCTTTGGGACTATGTTGCTCTTAAGATAAATTCCCAGTGGGACTACATGGGAAGAAATGTTTTTCTTTGGGTAAAACAGACCACCAGTTCAGCCAGTTCACCCAATTCAGTCTGATTAACAGTCTAATCAATATTGAAATGTAATTTAAACACTTGCTGTATGAGATTCAGTCTCTCGCATAGTCACTTTTTCCACTACCTACATGTGAGAAACTTTATAAGACAGTGTGTAGCCCACCCTGACATCTTACCCAGGCAGCGCATGACTCTGGCTCCCACCTCCAAACACTTAATATCACGTTTTTGTAACTCCCTGTGATAGGAACATCTCCTCTGAATATCTCAATGATGCACTGGTAAGGTAAATGCCTCTTGAGCTTTGGGGAAAAGGGCTAAGCTGAATTAAGCATTGCTCATACAATTTAAAACTACGCAGCATCTAAACTAAAGGTCAAGCTGAATAAGACTCACCCATCTGTTTCCCCCAAATGTGATCAATGTGAGTGCGAGGAAGGGACTTGAACTCATAAGTGCATAATATCTGGGAGGAGATATTACAGCGGAACAGTGTATTACTTGGAAAGCAAGTAGCCCCTGACTGTAAGTTTGAATACTGGGCTGTTCTGAATACAGCTTTTCAGCCACCATATGAGAGTCAACTGGGTCTCATGTTCGGCATGGTTGAAGCCAAAAGGTTTATTTTGAGGGAATGGAAATCTTCATCTCCTCCTTGTTATAAAAATGAAAAATGGCTCAATGATATGATTTCCTGTTTATACTCGGAAGAGATAAGGTACTGTATGTCTAACTGCGCCTTTAAGTTCGCAAAGATTTGGGGACCCTATGTGGACCTGTGTCTAACAAGTGCATTTGTGCAGGTCTATGTCCTGAGAAACTTGAATTGAACACCCCACACATTGCTCTAACTGTCTACAACTATGTGTTTGTCTGTTCATTTATTTTCTGTCTTTCTTGGTGACTGTTCTTGGTTTCTTAGTATTGCAAAAACTCAAAATAAAATATAGAAACACACACACACACACACACACACACACACACACACACACACACACACACACACACACACACACACACACACACACAAATGCTGTATGAGTGGTAAACTGATGTCCTCCAACAAGGCAGACATTATGAAAAGTCACCACAGTTTTAGCCACATGCTGTTAATGCCAAAAGGAGCGCAAAGGACAAATAACACACTTGTACCATTTTTAGCTACAATTATGCTCATGAGTGGCGCTGGGTCTGCTCCAAGCTAACACTCAGCTGACCCCTCACTCCTCAGGGTAGGATGTTCCAAAACACAAATGTTGTTCCAGGACACAGAACTGAACTAGTTTCATGTTGTGTTTCCAACTTTAGACATGACAGTTATGTTTTCAACAACTACGTGTTCTGTGCTGTGAAGTCAACAGATTCAAAGTGTGTGTGTGTGTGTGTGTGTGTGTGTGTGTGTGTGTGTGGGGAGGGGGGGTTTCTTGGTTCCTATGAAGATGATTTATCTAACAACCATCCTATTGTGCTGTGTACTGTACGTCTGTGACATCTAGTGGTTTGATTTAGTAATAACTACATTTGCCTTTGACTGGAAATATGGTCAGTCAAACATCATGTTTTTTTGTTTTCGAATGATGAAAGTAATCAAACCAAAAACTGACATTTTATAAAATAATAAAAACATTCGCCTTTTTGATTTCAAATGAAACAACCCAAGAAAGACAAACTTTGTCCTCTGTTGCTCACAAACCAAAACATGTGATGAGTGGTCACAAGTAGATATTCAAGAAACTCCCATCAGGCGCTCTTTGTTATTAAGTGTCTTTATTTAATCAGGCAGACTGCTTAAAATGGTTGAAGTGATTTGTTGATGAGGAGGCACTGACCCGCCTGAGTGCAGGATGTAGGCTTCCCTCTCAGCACTAGGGGGCAGTGACAGGTTGTGAATAAACTTGCGCACAGTCCCTTGTTTTTCTCACGTCCCTCACCTCAAACTAGAAAAGCTAAATCACATGTTGAGCCAAGTGAGTAGCACAGACTTAAAAATCACCAAGGTCATGGGAGGAGGTTGACGAGGTGAAGATGGAGGTTTGGGATGTTCTTTTCTATTCACTTTTAAAAAGCAATGATGCTTTTGAAGATATGAACATATGTACATATATTGAATTTCTATACATGAAGTTATGTACATATCAATGAAACCTATTAGAAATTGTATGTGTGTATTTGTATTGCCCATACAAATATGAAAGTATGCTTATATTGTTGACATATGTTATGTAAATATATATATATATATATATACAGTATATATTCATCCCAAAGCCTGTCAATATATGTTGATATTATATACAGCAGAACTCCAAAAGTCTGAGACCACTTTCCCAGAGCTGGAGGATTGATGTTAAAATTAATAATAAATTAATAACATATTATACATATCTAAGCATATTGAATTTATGTGAATGTTGTTTAAACTTGCATATAAAATATATATTGTTAACATATATGTTGACAAGATGTTGTGCCATATAAAAATTCATCATAGATATTTTTAATATATGTACATATACAAATTTTACTATGGGTGTTTCATATAGGCGACATATATTGCAACATCACTCTAGATATATGGTCATATAAGACTTCAATATAAAAATATAATCAATATAATTA